ATGAGATATACCGACGATCCAGAAATTCGTAATTCAAGAAAAATTAAGAAATTCAAGCTGCTATCACAATTGCATCACTTAGAGTTAAACCGTACCGCGGATCCACGGAAATGAAGGAATTCAAGCAATTCTATTGAATCCCTTGATTTTCTTGAATTGCTTGAATTTCACTGTACTGCTTCAGAAAAGGTTACCTTCATCTTCACTATCGAGATTGCCTTGAAAATGAAGGAAAATCAAGAAATTCAATAGAATTTCTTGAATTCTTTGATTTCCATGGATGCCGCGGTATGGTGTAATCCTAAGTGATGGAATTGTTATAGCAGCTTGAATTTCTTAATTCTCCTTGAATTGCCAATTTCTGTATCATAGGTACTGCTGATCCACTTTTATGCAGATTTGATCCTAAAAATGAATATCAGAATGAATTTTCAAATTCCTGATTTTGAAACAGATGCCGCTGGAACACCTGCAAAATTGATAGTAACTATTTTCGAGCGATGTTAATCAACAAGTGTAAGTCCATGTTTTATCATTCTACAATTTTATTTTCAAAATAATGGAAGTGGTTCCTGTTAATAATTAACTTTTTTTTCAACAAAAGGTCATATGAGTTGAAACTTGGTACAGTTTTGTTAGAAAGTGTTACTGGTCTCATTGAAAACTTATCTAAACTAGTTACATCGTACTATTTTGCTAGTTTTGTGCTTAAATCACAATTATTTTTGTGTATAAAAAGCTTTTATTATGACAGAAAAAGGATACATTGGATATCTTTTATCCTTTGTATTCATTGGTTTTTTTGATCGTATATTAAAAATCGCTTCGTACTTTCTGACTTAACATTTATTTAAATATTTTATTATTTATCTCGTATTACTTTATCAATATTATGCAATAATATTTATTTATCACTTAATTCTGGTTTGCATACCCAATATGAAATTGTGCTCAGTTTACTTAATTTTTTTTGTCATTTAGATGTACCAAGAATTAAGATCTTTGTCTCTAACGTATTTATGAAATGAAATCAATTGTGTCATCTATTCTATTTTCTCAAAACACTCAAAAACTCTCTATAAAATGTTGTATTGAATTGTTTTAAGCAAGTTTCAGACATGTGCTGATAAACAAAATTCAACGGACAAAATTCAGAAAGAGAGGACAGAAAACTATGCGTCAGTCATTACGATGCTGTTGCGTTCGATTGCAACTGCAATGCCATTGGATTTTTCTCTTGTTGAATTCAGTTTTTTTTTCTTCCGAATGAAAATTGACAACTTGTTCGACTCACAGAACGAAAAAAAAAATACCCAATTATATGTTAACTTTAAGTTACTTCTTTATCAAAATTGTTACATCTTAGTTTATTGTTGTATTAGATCGAGGTGATGGCACGCAAAAATGAAAATTTGATCACACGCATCCAACAAATCGGAGAAGGTGGTTTTGGTACTGTTTATATAGGTAGTTATCGTGAATATAAGGAAGTAGGAATCAAAGATGTCAATAGTAAACTATCAGCTGACGCTTTAGCTGAAGCAAATATACTCAAAACTCTTACACATCCAAATATCATTCAGTATATTGACATCGTTCAAACACCAAATCAAACATCAATTATCATGGAATTTATCGATGGTGGTTCTCTGTATAATTACATTAAAAGAACGACTCAATCATTGACATATTGGAAAGTTACTCGACAAATGATGATTGATGTTGCACATGGTATGGCTTATTTACATAGTCAACATATTGTACATGCTGACTTGAAAAGTCTTAATGTTTTGTTGCGACATAATTATTCAGCAGTCATATGTGATTTTGGTCTTGCAAGAACAATTGCTGATTCAAGAGCAGTAACTACATGTTACGTTAGAGGTACGTCATGAATAGATTATTCAACATAATTTTACACTCTATTGTTTCTATTATCCGAATATTGCTAGTTCAAAAATATCTAGTTAAATAATCTTTCATAATTAGTATAGTTTGTCAGTTAAAAAAGTAAATGTAATTGTTTCTTGAATAATCAAAGCTATATTTAATGCATATTTAATAGTATGATTGTATGCCCATTGAAATTTTAGTTTTTTTTTAATTTGATTTATAATAAATGTTTCAGATGATTTCGACTAAAGAAAACATACATTTCATCTTTTTCAAAATATTAGGATAAAGATAGTTTACCGTGCTTATTTTTATCAATCTATTTTTGTTATTGATATTTATATTTAACTGAACCTAATCTTTCATAACTGTCATAAAAATGTTAGTTTTCACTTTCTATTTTTGTCAATAAATTCTTTGTCCTATGGACTTTTGGAAACTTTCCGTATTTATTAAGGCGGCTGATTGGCCGATTGAGTGCACATGTGAGATTTGTTTGTTTTCTAAATTCGACGCCATTCAGGAGATATAATTTGTGCAAAACGATAATTATCACTTGATAGGTTCAATATATAGCGATACATAATTCAATCGTAAAGCTACTACTGATATCTTAAATGTTATATGCATATATATTTTGATTATCGTCTTGTGCGACTTACAGCAGTGAGTACGAAAATTATTCAACAACGTTTATTTTCAATTTTTTTTCTGCTATCGTCAGTGCTAGGTAAGATTCTAAGTAGTGATTCGAATATAGAAATCTTTTCATTAAAAAGAGAATAAGGAAGTAAAAGTTATCATCAGATTTTTAAAGATAGTAAGAGTTTCCGAAATCTAAAACCCTAGTTATTCGATACCTAGAACGAATAATCTATAATCTTATTCAGACGTTAGAGTAAAGCATCCTCTACAAAATAAAATATCTCTGAGTTCTCTGAGACGTTTTTCGGCTGTGATACAGTAATTTAATTAATAGTCAAAAAGTAACTCTTCTATAGAAAATAGTAAAAACACGATTTTAGGGGTTTTCGTAAAATTCTTAGATCTCAGGTACAAAACATTGCAGACAACTCGAAGACTTCTCATTTTGTAGACAATTTTTTTTCTCTATCATTCTCTGTAGCCTAAATAAAACTATATTTACGTATTCTAGACACTGAAACACTGAGGTTTTAGTTTTCTGAAGCTTTTACCTTTGAAAATCTGGTACTATTTTTTTATTATCTTAGATTTTTATTGAACACAATTTTCTCTACTCGAATCATAAAATCGAATATAAGAAATAATTTTTAATTTATATTGAGCGTTACTATCGTGAAAAGAAGATGTCAAAAAAGCATTCATATTATGATGTGCTTTCACAAGAAAAAATAATAGACTAACATATTTTAGGACTAGGGCAGTCAAATGCCTTGTTTCATCAACTTTTATTTGAATGATAGTCTATTTTTTCTGTTGTTTTTCTAGGAACAGTGATATGGTTTGCACCAGAACTTTGTTTTGATCGACCAGAGAGAAGTTCTTTTCAATCTGATGTATGGGCATATGGATGTATCTTGCTTGAAATCATATCACAGAAGATTCCATGGGAAGATGATTATAGCAATGATAACGTTCTTATAAATGCATTAGCTAAACCAGAGAATGCAATTATTTTTGAAAACATTTGTCTTAGGCAGAGAGCTCCGGAAAAACTACGCGCAATTCTTTGTCGCTGCTGCTCTTGGCAAAAAGACGATCGGCCTAAATTTCCCACTATAGTTCAGGAGCTCACTGCTATCTCTGATGTGGATATTCACAATATTAATCAAGGAAAAGAAAAACCAGTGTCATCGAATTCGTCAAAAACAAGACCCTCGATTAGTAATAAACGATCTCCAACCAAAGCATCATCATCAACATCAAAAGTCAATGATGCAAAGTCCGATGAATATATAACGACAATGGCTGAATTGAAACTTGAAAACCCAAATCGAAAACGCAAGTCTTCGTCAGTACGTCGAACAGATGATGCTACTATTGAAGACAATAAAAGATATGATTCTAGTAATGATCGTTATCTTTATAAAGGACCACGTGGTGGTTGGTACTATTTAACTTCTAATGGCAGTAAAGTATACATAAAAACCGACTAAATTTCAATATAGATTTTTTTAAAAGCATTTCTTATTTTGATAATTGTTCATTCTTGAAATTTTATATGAATGACTTAGATATATATATATATAAAATATTCAAACCAACTAAACATCGGATAACAGAATGCTCATGAGATTATGTCATATTAGCAAGAAATCTCAATTCGTTTATGAACCTACTTTGATAGTCTGATTTCATGATAAGAATGATTCTATTGAGCCTCTCAGATTCAAATCGTAATAGTATTCATATTAGAACTATTTTTTTCTTTTACTTAAACAAACGAATTTCAAATATAAATACTTAGAACAATATTAATAAACTTTTTCTTGTCGATAATAATATGAAAAAAATTTTCATAATAACTATAACCAACGTATTCTTATGAAAAATTCTTTGCTTTTATGATAAACTTTCATCTCATACTTAAAAAATAAGACATTAACACTAATGAGTTTGAATGAAATTCTTTTTTTATATTTTTCTTTCTTTCGTAAAAATCCTATGTACTCATCATCAAAACAGACGCTACGTTTCAGTCAGTAGGACAAGTATTTGTAATCTATAATCATAAAAAAAACATACGTTAGAACTCAATGAAACATTTGTTTACTACTGTGTTTACAAATAAATAATCATCGATATCGATTGGTTTACAACAATATTTTCTAATATATTTCTGTAAGTATATCGACTAAAAAAATGTATTGAATATTTTAAAGAAAATGAATCTTTTTTTTTTTTATTTATCATTTAAATACAAATATGCGTAGTTAAAATTTTTGACATAAAAATCGAAAAACATAATCCAAATACGAACTACAAATAAAACCTATCACTTTTAGAGGTATTATCAAAGGAAGAACATTTGATTTGATTATTTTAAGAAATCAAGTATGAATAAAGAAAGAGATAGATATTATTGAATAGCTTTTAAAAATTAAAATAAATTTTTTTATGAATGTTTATAAAGCACGTTGTTCTTCACCGGGATTTGTAGTTGAATCCAATTGATTACTATGTTTATGAGTACGTGCATTTAATTGGGATACTAAAAGAAAAATGAACATATAGAATGTGTAACATTTTATTTTTGTTTCTTTTCTAATATTTACCATCAGCATCAATAGACAATAGACGATCAGGATTCTCGAATGTATGATGATTATTATCGACGGGTCCTATAAGAAAAAGTTTAATAGAAATAAAAACAAAACTATTGTATAAAATACATACCACCTAGGATAGGTTCGACATCTTCTGCTTGTTCAGATGAATCTTTATGAAACAGAAAACAAAATGCAAATATTTTATCACTAAAAAGAAAAAGAAAGAAATTATCAATACCATTCATTAATGTTGTTGTGGCGCCGGATGATGCAAGAATAATAGCTGTTGGTATATTTGATTGTATATCATCTTGAAGTGTATGATGATTAGTATTTTCTGAACGTGGTAATACTTGACCTAAAAAATATTTTAGTTTAATTCATCTTTCAAATAAAACTTGAAAAATATTATCAACAAACCTTCCTCATCAGTATCACTGTAGGAATTCTCTTCTTGTTCAGTTTGAACAGTATTATCATATTCCATCATTTGCTCTAAACAAAGACACATCTTATATAAAATCTACCAATTTTTGAAACTGTAAAATAAATTCGAAAATAAATTCTCATGCTGAATCATTGTTGACAAGAAGAGTATTCTTAGAACACAACAGTCAATATTTGCCAACATGTTGATATAATGTTAAATAGCATTCTTTTTTTTTTCCTAAAGGATATAGGATCGATCACTGGCAACATTTAATCTTTTCAACGATTAAATGACTGAAAAAAACGAAAATTATTTTTTTTTTTAAGATATGTTTTCTTCAATTATGAATGCAAGTGGATTTTACCGAATATACTCTTTTGAAAAAATCTCTTCAGATGTAACTTATGCAAATGTACACGGCATAAATTAGGTTCAATGACCATGGAAATGTTTTTCAAATTATGTTGCAAATTACCACTGAAATTTCAATAGAGAAACGTACTTTTAAATAGATTCTTATTTCCGGCTAGCTGTTTTTTTCCTAAATTGAAACTGACACTTCGCTATAATATTATTTATATGCCGAAGGCCTTATTCAAACGATTTACCGTCATCATTATTAATATTTGAATAATTATTATCTGCAGCATCAGCAGAAGTAGTTGAATTGACATCATCTTCAAGATAAAACAAAAAGAATATTATCCAATCATATAGATTTAATCCTAAAAAATTTACCCATTAATTCATCTGTTGCTGCTATTCCTGTACTTTCTCTCACAATCGTTTGGTTATTATATTCTAAATGTTTTCAACGCATAAAGTTTCAAAAAGATTATAGAAATTTGTTTATCTACCATGATTTATTGTTAAATTCACATCTTCAGTAGTAACAATCTCATTTAAATTTGTTGCATCTTCATTAACTGCACCATTCTCATCATTGATAATAATATCTATAGAGTTATAGAATATGATTTATTCTTACGAAAATTCTTTCTTTGATACCTTCGTGAAAAGTATTAATACGAATAGGCATTACCATTGAGTGCGGTTGAGTGTCCTGAATGCCTACGGGTATATTATGCCAGCCCAAATCGAAATCCACTAAGTGAATGATAGATAAATTAGAACATAACCATTTTTACAGGTACTTACAATGAATAGCTGCACAATTTGGAGGATTGATCGACATATTACTAAAAGTATCCGATGGATCTATGAAAAAAAATTAAAAGAAAGACATTTTTTTAATTGAATTCTTATTTCTGAATTTACGTGTAATTCGATCATTGGATTGTTCATCGCGATTCGCAGCAAAAACATCTTAAATACAATATGAGAATTTTCGAATAATAGTATTAAATCTCACAATTATATGGCAAATCTTCTGTACTAGGATGAACTCCTCCCATGAAAATATTAGATTCATCGACAACAATTGATGAATAATGAATATGAGGTTGACGTAATATCAATTCATGTATTCTTTGACCTACATTTAAAAAAAAAAGAAACTATTATAAAAATTCTTTCGAACATGAAACATACTTGTCATTGAATCTAAATCATTCGATCTTTCATCAACAACCAATTGAGAACAAGCTGTTCAAATGAAAGAAATGCCTAAAATATTTTATGAAATAATACAAAATATAGTTACCTGTTGGTTGTTGTAATGATATCGAGACATAACCAGAAGAATTTGATTGACTGATTACTATCGATTCGGAGTTAATTTCTGTATATAATGAAAGATAAAATGTGAAGAATTTCTCCTGTTTTTACTAATGTTTATTATCTGAATTTTTTTACATGAAATGAATACATTATAAATCTAACAAATTACATAATCAAAGAATAGAAAATGATTCTTTAGATTTCTACCTTTTAAAAAATGTAATAGATTGATATTATGTTAATGATGAAAAAATATATATTTGAGAAGCTTTGACATCATCACATTAAACGAATGAAAGCACATCGACTTCTACGACACAATATTGTTTTAAAGCAGATTTCTGATTAGAAGACTAGGGATTTAAACATAACAACAAAAAGAAATACATGAACTTTTTTTTAATGAATTTCTACAGAAGACTAAAAATATTTCTAGGAATTTAACAAATCTTATTCACAGAATTCATAAATGATAATAGTCTAAGTAATTGATAGTTTGACTAGTTATAGGTTTGCTTAGAATAAATTTGAATAAATCATAAGTATTCTTCAAATAGTCGTAAGAATATTGGTATTACTTAATCTTCAATTTCACAATATACGTCTGGTTGTTTTTTTTTTCATAATGATTGCTATCATAATATTGTATGTCGGGCGACAAACGACTATGCCAGAAGCCATTTGATTCTCTTCCTACAGAGATGTGCCTGTAAAAACTAGATTGAGTGTATTTCAATTAACTCATCAAAAAAAAATTATCATGGTATTATTGATACTGATAGAAAATAGATATTCGAGAATGTTGCGAAGCAGCCAAGACTAAAGCATTCTAAATACGAATATTCTTTGAATTAAAATTCAATCTTAATTTTTCTTTTCTGCAATACAAAATGTCTGAAGTTTTTCGTTGTTTCCAAATAATGTGTCTTCAGAGGAAAATCTTTTTTCATATTTCAGAAGAAATTTACTTTGCTTCACTTGCGTCTCGTAAAAATGTTATTTTTATGTTAGATATTAGGGTCTAGCAAACTTTCATAGCTATTGTTATTTCTTGGAACCAGAAAATTTCCACTTATCCAGGTGAAAAAGTCTCGTGACTTCAAACTTTGAAAAAAAGATGCAGTCCACCTATTCGCTTAGTTACAAAATTACGTATTTCTCAGTGGCATGAATTGATAGTTTTTTATATTACCAAAAGAAAAGATACTCTAAATTTATCCAATGTTTGAGATACCTCTGTAAAAGCCTAGATCACTCTGTACAGAATTGCTTGAGCCACCGAAATCTAGTACATTCATAGTGTGTATATTTCATGTAAAAACAAATCAAATAATAAACATTAGTTGAACAGCAGAAACATGAAGTACAACTTTATCAAAATACTTTTCGATCGCAGCATTCTATACTCACCTTCAGATAAAGAATCGATATTATCGATATCATCTTCATCATGATATCCACAATTATTCAGACAATTCTTATTCGACATTCACATGAATAAGTACCAAAAGTTTAAGATGCTTGTTTTAGTCGTACGTTAGTGGAATGCTTAATATTTATTTGATATAAACCCTTTAGTAGGGTTTACTGTTAGTAAAAACAAAACTGCAATCTGTAGTGAAACAATATAAATAAATCATATTTGAATAATAATTAGATAATTTTCAATTATTTTTTTCGATTTTATTTGATATTTTCTTTTTCTTTTTCTTTTGACAACATATTCAACTATGTTTGAATCAGCAAAATATGCTGTTATCTTTTTCATTCAAGTTTCTTCAGAATTTATTCATCATAATTTTTCTTTCGCTTTCCGTTCGCTTTATTTCTGTTTCGTATTTGATTTACGACGTAAAATAACAATCTACAAAAACAGTCATAACGGTAAATCATGCTGCACTTTTTCTCAGTATTGAGAGTCAATGCAAACATAAAAAGGTGAAGATACCAAAAAAAAATAAAGCAACTTGGAAATTTTATATACGACGTCAAATGCAAAAAAAACATAAAAAGACGTTGGGCGTGTTTTTGATGGTCGCTGCGAGTTTGCTTCGTAAGTAGATTTGTACAATTTTATACAGGTTCTAACATTTGATTAGTGGAAGGCTATTTCGAAGTAACCCACGAGAGAAATCCTCTACATGATGAATCATTTTGGAGTTGAGACTATGTGCATTATGTAGGCCCAAATGAACTATGAATATTCTGAAAAAGAGTTCGTGCCCTTAGCTTATTGTTGTGGAAATATTGTGATTTCACCGTATTTTTTTTTAAATAAATGCTACGACTCTCACCTTACGAGCACCAAAAAAACTGGTTTGCAAATTACGACTTGAAACTTTGCATAGGGACAAGCCTTGAACAGAATATCTTTTTGGAAAAAAGTTTTAGACCTTTTGATTTGCTTCTATCCTATAAAAGGCGATGGTGAACCACCAGTTCATCGTCTATCGATGCACGATACGACGGCTTCGCCATACTGAGGTTACCATGTCTGAGTGGCTACACTGTACGGCATGTATCCATAAAATATCGTGCTCAAACCTTGCTACCACCAACCACGACCTACAGATGGGGTACTCTTCTTTCCTTCCTTCCATCGTACTTAGAGCTGCCGGATAGTGGTGGACTTTATTATATCGCTACTAAGGCCAGCAACGTCGTTGAATATGTGTAAAAAAAACCTACAGTGACGACTACGGATGAACCATTTATCTTAACGTATGAAACTTGACCAAAGCTTTTTGGGGTTACGAAATCCAAAACTGAAATTAGTTTTTCGTCATTTTGTACTTTATTTTAGGAAAGAAACGCGTTGTTTTTTACAAAATTTTATCAAAGATGTTCGGGATAGAGGTACTTTGATAGAGAAATGAAGTGCTTAATTGCAAGAAATCGATTACAGATGTGAATTCATCAATTCCAACAATCTTTGATCAAAATTTATAATATACAACTACTTTCAAAACTAGTTGTATTTTAGGATAGGAACAACAACAAGATCTGAAACATTCACAAAAAACTATTCTGGTTAATGCTTGTCTCTATACAAATTTTCAAGTTGTAATTTGAAAAAAAAAAGTTTTTCTTGTGCTCCTCAAGTGAGAGTCACAGCATTTATTTAAAAAGTATCATGAAAGCACAATATCTTTGCAGCAATAAGTTAAGGATCTACATAATATACCTAGTCTTGACTTAAAAATGATTCATTAGGTGGAGGGCTTCACTTATCAGATTCTCGAAATTTAGTTGGCATGCATTTCAAGTAGAAATTAATAAAGTGATTGCATCTTGACATCTCAAAAAAATATGTAATAAGGAATGACTAATCTAAAATACTAATATCTACTGCGATACTATAAAATTCTATACAAGTTTGATGTCCACTTGTAATATACTTTTTGAATATAACTTTCAAATATCAGTCTAATTATTTAAACACAATCGTACTTATTTTATATCTAGTCTTAGGTATTGAAGATTTGCGCCGTGACTAAATCTATTATAACTAGCCATCAGAAACGTTTTTTTTTGTTGACAGGGTCATATAGTATTTTTATATTTTTTCTTCTGTCGCAATGCATGTAGACTAAGATGACGTTGATGCGAAAAGATTTCACTGCTAATATAGCAAAGAAAACAATCACTATTGCTATGTATAGACAATTGAATGTATAAATTTATATGACGCACACGTTCTATTAAAATGTGCCGGTTTATTTAACATTAAATTCATTTCTGCTATGATTATTTTTTTCTTGAAACGCAAGAAATATTTCCATTTTGCTCTTCGCAAGACTATACGTATACGAAAGCAGTGGAACCGTGACATCTCTATAAGAAAAACGATAAGATACTGGTTCATGAACAGATGAAAAAAGTTTACATATAAACAGCTAGTCATATTTACTTCAAGAGTTAAAAAAATGATTTCTGTGAAGCGAAAGAAGTTACGTTTTTTATTTGACTTCTTCTCTTTTTGCTCTTGTTTTTCTTTCTAAAAACGCCTTCTCCTCCTTACCTGAAAAAAATACCATGAGAAATGAAATTTTATTGTTTCCACGTTGCGTTAAGACACAGTATAAGTGTTCTGTATCTTTCGCTGAAAAATAAAATCAACAAAAATCTTTTCGCCGACAAGAGAGTAAGAAATCCGCGAAAAATACAATATATCAGATGTCCGCACAGCCGTATACAAATGAATGTGCATTCATTTTAATTGACGCAAAACTAATCAGATAAAAAAATGATATTAGGTGTAAGGTAGAATGAAATCTAATTGTTTTTTGAAAGTTTACTTTTAGAGTTCTTTAACAGTCAATTAGCTAATAGGGTAAAACTAACGAAGTTAGAAAAAAATACGTCAACAAGTTGTAACTTTCGAAAAATATTTCTTAAACATAATTTTACAGTTTTTTCAGATCTACAAAGAGAATAGTAATAAAAACATACTTTACATATCCAAATTTTTATTATCCAATTAGATCAATCAATAGAACTCATAATCTAAATGAGCATTGAAGATATACATATCAAGAGTGAGATTGAAGCTATCGTTTGACAAGAAAGTGTACTTGTATGAATAGAAAGACAATACAATATTAACAAACATATCAAACATGTATATGGTTTTCTCGACAGTGAGTCAATCAATGAGTAACTCCTATTTTTCCCAACTCTAATCAATGAAGTGCAAAAGCGAAATTTGATAGACTTTTGCAATGTACATAACCTTCTAGATGATAGCTTGAATATTACTCTTTAAACATACATCTTCAATGGCTGTCCGCTGATTGCAGGTTGGAAAAAGGAGACCAAAAACTACGAAACATCTTTTAAATTGATCACATGCATTTTCTTGAGTATAACAATTAAAAA